CCCCAAAACCCCAAAACCCCAAAACCCCAAAACCCCATGTTTTAAACTGATTATAGAATTAAAACTCAAATTTTATATATTTCAGTTAATCCACTTTCATAATGATGAGGAAGAGAAGCCCATACTTTAGTAAAGAAAGGAGCAAAAAACTCACTTCTAAGCTAAACTCTAACCCGAATACAGTCATTCAGGAAAAAATTATTGGCAAAGATGGTAAAATTGAGTTCAATAAATACCACAAGGGAAGCTTTTTAGGAAAAGGTGGCTTCGCTAAAGTCTATGAAATCACAGACTTAGAGACTAAAAATATTGATGCTGTTAAGATAGTTGAGAAAGCATCACTAAAATAAGTCAAGAGCTAAGCAGAAATTAATGTCTGAAATTAAGATTCATAACTCTTTGAACCATGAAGGAATTGTAAAATTTAAATAAATATTTTGAAGACAAAGACAACGTATATATGATCCTTGAGTTATGACCAAACTCAAGCCTCAATGATATCGTAAAGAGGAGGAAAAGACTCACTGAGAGCGAGGCAAGGTACTATCTCCACCAATTAGTGAAAGCAACTCAATATATGCACTCGAGGAAGATAATTCATAGAGACTTGAAATTAGGCAACTTGTTTTGTGGAAATAAGATGAGACTCAAAGTCGGAGATTTTGGTCTTGCCACAAAAATTAGCTATGAGGGAGAGAAGAGGAGGACCATCTGAGGAACTCCTAATTATATTGCTCCTGAAGTACTCAGCTCTAAGATAGGCCATTCATATGAAGTTGACCTTTGGTCTATTGGTGTTATCTTGTTTACAATGATTGTGGGAAGACCTCCTTTTGAAACAAGTAATGTGAAAACCACTTACAAAAGAATCAAAATGAACTTTTATACATTTCCAGATCATGTTACAATTAGCGAAGAGGCCAAGGATCTCATCCAGAGATTGTTGAAAAACGACCCAGAAGCAAGACTTCCTTTAGATAAAGTTTTGGATCATGACTTTTTAAAAGTTCCAATTCCAGAAAGTTTACCAGTTTCAGCAATGGCTTGACCACCTCCTCCTGAACTTGCAAGAACTATTTCAGGAAAAGCAACAACTTCAGACTCTCAAAGGCCCACAATCCGTCCACAAAGCTCCCATCGAGAAGTTGTGAGGAGAAGGAAAAATATATTCATGACAAAAGAAAAAGATGAGAATTCTCAACAAAAATCAAGAGGATGCTCTCAAAATGATAGAGGAATGCTTCTCAGCCATAGAGCTGCCAGTCCACACATCAATTTAGATAAGCCTAACTCTATCTCAAAACGTGATGAAAGGAGCAAAGAGAGGGTCCAGTGAGGCACCAAGAGAGCTGGATCAGCTATTCACAGATGCCTTACAAGAAATCGCACTGAACAATACTTGCTTGGAATGCAAAGTAAATTTGACAGTAAAGTTGAAGACGAACCAAAATATGAAAGTCAATTTTCAAAATACAACAATTGATTAGCTAAGAAATCTAATAAAAGCTCTAAGAGTGTAAATAGAATCTCTTATTATGACTCTAAGCATAAGGTTTCTACTATTCAGCAAACTGCTGATTACAACACCTCAAAACCTAAGTCCTCAAGCTCCACTGTAAAGGTGGAATATGCAAGTTCAGTGGGACCTAACGAGTCTGAGAAAGTACTAATAACCAAATGGGTAGACTACTCTTCAAAATATGGCATTGGATACAAACTTTCAGATGGATCTTATGGGGTCCTGTTCAATGATTCAACAAAAATGCTTCTGAATACTAATAGTTTTGATTTCATGTATATTCGAAGGGAGAGCTCATCTGACAACGAGCCTCTCAATAATCTGACTGATTATTATGATTTCTTGAATTACCCGAAAGATTTGAAAAAGAAGGTGATCTTATTACAGCATTTCAAAAGTTATCTCGACGGCATAAAATTCGAGCCTCCCAAATCTGCTACACAAACAAAATCAGAGTATAATGAGATATTCTTAAAGAAATGGAGAAGAGCTAAGAAAGCTATCCTATTCAGGCTTAGCAATAAAGTGATCCAAGTTGTGTTCCAAGACATTTCTGAATTAATTCTGAGCTCTGGTAGCGGTTCAGTTACTTTCATCACCTCCAAAGGAGAAGTAAGAAACACTCCTCTGTTCCATGATCTAGAAAAGAAGGATCCTTCTCTTTTCAAACGACTAAACTACGCTAAGGAAATTCTGATCCATATGATCAACCCTAAAAATCGCGATAACAAAAATGATGATGAGAAGGAAAACAACACCTATCGGGATGGGCCAATTACATCACGAGGAAGAGAACCTCACATATTTACAAAAATGGGGCTAAGCTCTGGCATTCAAAAGAGTGCTTTTGAGACGAATGGTCTAGTTACAACACGTAATAAAGCTCAGCTAAAATTTTAAACACATACTAAACCCTTATTTAATTTAAATTCTTCAGTTAAGAAAACTGATTAAGGGGTTTTGGGGTTTTGGGGTTTTGGGGTTTTGGGGTTTTGGGG